TGGACTAACTTGTGTAAGTTGGACTAACTTGTGTAAGTTGGACTAACCTGCGCAAGTTGGACTAACCTGTATAAATAAAAGGTTGAATGAATGAGATGGAAATCTCAAATTTGATTCAAGCCAATACAGCAATGTCAGCAAAAAGGGAAAGATGTAAAACTTCCAAATTGATTTATAAAGGTCTTTTATCCTCTTTCAAAGAAAAATTAGCTGCACATTTTTTGTCTGCATTCATTTATTTATTTTGGTGCAGTACATAAACATGAATTTTTTTTTTTTTCTGAAATGGCCTAAAAATCTTTGAATATATTTTTATATTTTGTCTGATTTTTTTTTTTTTTTTATTTATTTATTTATTTATTTTTTTTTTGTAATATAATTTACATGTTTTATAATATTATTTTGATATTGGCCCACTAGATGGTGCTTGGCTTTTTTATTCGAATGCCTCTGAAAAAAATCACGGAGCTGCAGTTTAGCTCACACTGGAAAAGGCTCCTCTTCCCTGGCCAGAACTGGTGTGAAGTACCGCCTCTAATCTGGTTTTAGTTTTAATTTAAAAAACAAAACCTCACTTGTATGTTCACAAGTAAACATTTGGTACTAAAACATTGTTCCGCATGCAGAATGAAACTACGGTGGCCTACATGTACACATGCACTGCAAAAAACCATGTGCTGCAAACACATATATGATGCAAACTACAAAACGCAATGCTACAGAAAAATGCTGCAAAAGAAAAATTAATGTGGGACCAGACCCATGTAAACACTAGCTGATCAGCCTCTGGTCACAAAGTGGCTCGTTGTAAGAGTTTTGATGTGCACTGAGCACTTGAAGCGGCAACCTATTTTATTTTAAAGACACATGTTTTCTGGTTATTTTTAGCCTGGTTGCATAAAAATCTGAGCGCTGGTGCATTGGCTTGAGAAGGATGGTACCCCCAATAGATTATGACAAAATCCTAAATGTGTCTGTTTTTTGTCCTGGTACATGTTCAGTTATCCAGGTAGACAAATCTAACAGAAGTTGTCCGGTCACGTGGACGCTGAATCTCTGTTTTTTGTTATGTACAGTACCAAGAGCATCTTAAGAACATAATTTTTGTCCTAATGTATCCAATATATTTGCATTAAGGTAGAATATGTTTACTTCATAAAAATAAATTAAACTGGTTGAAAATATTTATAAATATGGCAAATATTGTATTTTTTTTTTTTTTTAACTAGCCTGTCTTGTAAATTTCTAGAGGCTCTTATACTTGTCAAACTCTAATACCAGTGATATAGCCACATTCTATACACTCAAATTATTGGGAGCAGGTCTTAAAAATGTGCCAGATCATCTTGGACTTGCTGCTTGTTTTTCTCTCCTTACCCCCTAATTCTGCAAAATTTCATATTGTGGCAAAATGTTTCTGCCATTTGCGCCCGTGTGCCAGCGAATGAAACGCTCCACGGCTGAAAGCAGCTGACGTCTGTCGGCTTATCTGAAGATGGGTGGACGGTGCACCTGCAGCTCGCTCGTGTATCCATGTCGGTTCAGGTGAAAAATAACATAAATTATGATTCTGCATGAGCGGAGTTTAAAAAAAATACTGTATAAAGAAAATATTAAAAGAATAAAAAAATAATTAGGAAAAAAACCTTAATGTTCGAGGACCGGAAGAGTAAGTTTATCTGAAAACAAGGCCTCATTTTCTGAAGGGTCCTGTGGTCTGGAGGTTCTTCACAAAACTCTGGACTGGAATTAAAAACCCCAAAAATATTACATTTTTATTTTCAAAAATTGTCATAAAATACTTTGAATTAAAAAAAAAAACAAACCCTGAAATGTGGAGGTATTTTAAAAAACCTTTTGGAGTAAAATACAATTATAAACTGACATTTTTATTTCAGGCTGACTACTGGTAGTTTTTTGTGAAAAACAAAAAAACGTGTTTTTAAGCGGAAGTAGTGAAGACTGACGTTTTGAATGAGTCGGTCAGCATTGGAAATGGATTTTATATTTTTATTTGGCCTAAAAAGCTCAGACTTTTTTTTTTCTTTGTGTCTCAGGAAATCCACAAGAAGGTCATGTCTCTGCAGTTCAGCGAGTGCCACACAAAGATCAGGCACGTGGATGCTCATGCCACACTGAGTGATGGAGTTGTGGTGCAAGTCCTTGGAGAGTTGTCCAACAACGGTCAGCCTATGAGGAAGTTCATGCAAACCTTTGTGCTCGCTCCAGAGGTGAGAACATCCACCTTTCAGGACTGTTCTTATAAGATGATTGCTAAAACATCCATTTTGTCCGATTTATAACATAAATTTGCAAAAATATACACTTGGTTAATGAGGTACAACCGTTAAGATGCAATTATTTTGATTAAAAATGGCTAATTGGGAGCTCAGCCTGTATACTCTTTTTTTTTTTTTTTTTTTTTTTTTTTTAAATAATAATTTGAGAAAGTTCTATAAAATTACTCTAGTCTAAGTGTGAACCTGAAAAGGTTGAATGTCAAAATGTTTGTTCATGTTGTGCTTAGGGTTCGGTGGCAAACAAGTTCTACGTTCACAACGACATCTTCTGTTATGAGGATGAGGTCTTTGGAGACTCTGAGGCTGAGCTCGATGAAGGTAAAAACAAATCTTAAAGATAAGTTTTTATATATTTTTAAGTTGACTTTCCCATTTCTAATGTTGGCTGATTCATTTCATTTAAAAAAAAAATCCAGAATCGGAGGAGGAGGTTGAGGAGGAGTCGGAGGAAAGGCGGACATCCCCTGAACCACTTCAGGAAAGCCCCAACAGCACCACCTACTATGAGCCTCACCTTGTCCCGTAAGCAAAATAACGTAAATAATCAAAGCTTTGACAGCACTCGACTGATGTAGCCAAGAAGCAGCGATAGTGTTTTTCTATAACACCCCTACCCCGTCAACAAACGCCAAAGAGACGAGCGCCCTCCCAAGGCAATAACCTCAGGTTAGGGTTGATGCAGACTTCTGCACCTCTGTGTCTCTGCCTGAATCTTCTCTGGGGTTCTCTGGGGTTTAGGGCTCTGATCATCTCCCTAACTGACATGAGAACAAAACATCAACAATAACATGGTTGTTCTTATTGATCATAAAACATTATCTAGGCTGAGAGATAAAGCTTTAACTGGTCAACAAAATCCTTTACAGTTTAATTTACCTCCAACATGCAGCTCCACTGTAGAAAAAGCAGCAAATTTTTAATAACAAAGTCTGATTGTCCTGTGGCCCCCACCTCACTTTTCTTTTGTTCTCCTCACATCTGGGTCAGAACCTCCTGTGAGGAGAACATGAACATAAACAGTGAACATCAGGTGAACTGTTTAAGCAGCTGACTGGATGGATGAGCATTTTTACAAGCTAAGATTTATGTTACAGTCAATCTTTAGTTAGCTTCTGAGTTTAGCTAGCTACGTAGATACAATAAATTTACACACTAACATGTTAAAGTTAGAGTTACATGGATCATAGTTTATTTCACCACGATGTACGTGTTAAGCTGCAGTTACGCTAACAAACATAACTCACCAGCTGAAGCTCACAGAGACGTCCTCGGAGTTCTTTGATGAAGAGTCCGGTCGTGGAGATGATGAATCAGGATGTTCAGGCTCTACTCACAGGCTGACTTTAATGCTGAGAGGAGGAGGAGGCTAATGAACTCTTCTGTCCTCGCAGAAAAACACTGAGCAACTTTCTGCACACGTGAACCCGTCTGTGGGCGTCACCAGCACCATAGACATAATTATACATAGATTAGGTACGGCAGCTCTATACAACTCTGGGTGTAGTCTGTTTGTCATATGTCTGTGTTTTACCTGCCTGCATGCTGAAACCACGTGACACGTTACAGCCAATACCGAAACTTGACACCGAAAGAAGAGTGACGTTTCAATACATACACCGACCGGTGCAGTTCGGTCGGTGCCATAAAAGAACCTCGGTTCGGTACTCAGCCCTAGGTATTGGTAGATAACATGGACAATTCTGTGTTTTAAGTCTGTCCTAAACACGAGTCGTTACACAAACACGAGTAAAAAGTCAGCTCTTGCTGTGGCTCAGCGCTTTCTTCCGTTGGCTCATTTTCACATCGATCAGAAGTCACAAAGCAGCTCTTTGGAACAGAAGTGGCTCACGTGACGGGAAACAAACAAGAGACTCAATCAGAGCAGGGCGGTTCACGGTGAGCCTGGGTGTGAGCAGCAGAGAGGACACCCTGCTACCCTAACAGAACCCCCCACCCATACCTCCCTGAACGTGATGACGTGTAATAAATGTATGTGCTGGCACATGCATGACCAACTCACTGCAGCCGCGGGAGATGTCGGTCTGCTTCTGACATCATTCACTCACTTATTCCACCTCAAGCTGCTGCGAAACGCTGATGAAACCAAAGGGATGTTGTTTTCCAACAGGAAGTCGGTGCCAGCAGTTCTTCCTCCTCTCTCATCCACGCATGGTGTTCCTATTGAGTTTATAGATTCTTACAAATATTTGGGAATTTTGGTCGATGCACATCTCTCTTTTAAACCACATATTGAAAACTTGATAAAGAAACTAAAAGTAAAACTGGGTTTCTTTTTCAGAAATAGATCTTGTTTAACTCTGAATGCCAGAAAACACCTTGTAACCTCTCCCTCCCTCCCCTCCATTGACTACGGTGACATTATTTACATGCATGCCCCTGCCAGCTCCCTGCAGATGTTGGACGCTGTCTATCTTGATACGCTAAGATCCATAACTGGTTGTAACTTCCATACCATGACTGCACCCTGTACTCCTTGGTCATTATCTACACGTAGGCTCTCTCACTGGTTCATCTTCATCTATAAATCCCTCCTTGGTCTGCTACCTTCTTATATCTCCTCCCACATGTCACGTCGTCAGTGCAGTTACAGCGTGCGCACTCAGTTCATCATTACCTGCAGCGTTCCCTCAGTGCGGACTGAACTCAGCAGAAAGGCCTGTTCCTACTCGGCTCCTGCACCTGGAACACGTTGCAACAGGAAGTGAAGTTGTCCTCCTTTATTTCTTTAAGGGGTTTCAAACATTTGATGATGTCATTAGAAAAATCAAAGCAAATATGTTCTTGTTTTTAGTATTTCACCCTGACTTATTGTTTTATACACTACTTTTATTTTAACTGTATTTTTACTGTAGTTTATTGTTTTCATTGTTTACTGTTTTGTTGTCTGTACTTTAGATGTTCTGTCTGGAACAGGTCTCTCTTGCAGATGAGTCCTCGCGGCTCAATGAAGCTAACCTGTAGAAATAAAGGTTGAATGAATGAGGGGAAGAAGAAAAAACGCCAAATATAGTAACAGCAGAAAATGTTCTGAAGTTTCTGTTGAAGTAAAGTTCAACACGCGATGAGCCACCATTTATTAATCTCACTGGTTCAAGAAATAAAAGTTCAGGCGCTCAGACATCGTGACGTGACTTGTACATGGAAGTGACTTTTCGTTTTGGGTCTTGTAGAAATGGGATCGAGGAGCCCATGGAGGAGCCAGCTGCAGCTCCAGAACCAGAACCAGAGCCTGAACAAGAGCCAACAGTAGAGGAGGTAAAGCTGGAGGGAGATGAAAAGGTTGTGGAAGAAATCGAGGAGAAGGCACCTTCACCAACACCTGTAGAGTCTCCACCAAACCCCCAGGAACCTCCCAAGGTAGACTGGCTTTATTTCTGCGTTTGTTTAATTTATAAAAACTACAGTGTGGTTCAACACTGGGGATGTCTACAGTTAGCACAAGAACATTCTGTCATTTGTCAAGTTCAAAAGTTGGTTTTTATGGAAGGACGGGAAGAAAATATTCCTCTTGAACTTTGCTACAGTGCTGCCAAAGTATGGCTGTGCTTTTTTTTTTTTTTAATACTTGTATCAACAACCTAATTCTAAAACCTCCTTACCTTCTTTCTTTTTTTTTTTAAAGGTTTAATTTTTTTGTAGTGGTTTAGTGTAGCCCCTGACAATGTTGCATTTCCCACAGCCTTTCTCCTGGGCTCTGGTGACCAGTAAAAACCTGCCTCCCTCTGGCTCAGTCACCTCCTCTGGAATCTCTCCACATGTTGTTAAGGGGACAAGCTCACAGGTAAATTACAGGTCTTAACATTTAATCTAATAAACCCAGAGGGGTTTGTTCCACGACAAATCACTTGTCTAAAATGGCCACTGGAGAATCTGCCGCAGTGTTTTCTGCATCGGGTCTGAACAGGTTGCACAAAGTTACGCTGGAGTTCGTTACACTGATCACAACAGCTGTGAGTGTGTGCATGTGCAGTGTTTCCCCTAGGTTACTTGCCATGGGAGGGTGCTCGTCTCTTCGGCGTTTGTTTGTTTGGGGGGGGGGGGGGGGGATGATTGTATTGTGCACGGTTGTTGTGGTTTTGAAGTCTGAGCTGCTACAATCTCCACTCTTGGTCCAGAAGTGGCAACGCTGCGTGGGGGATTTGGTAGGCGGAGCGCACGTCTTGATTAGTGGTAGGGGAAATGTGCACGTGTGTGTGTGCGTGCGTGAGAGAGAGAGAGAGAGAAGACGATAAAGAACGTTACTCTTAAAAAATCTCTCAGGTTTCACAGTTTTTTTTTCTATTTGTTCATTTTTAATAAATGAAGCTTGATGTGTGGCGACACGGTGGTGCAGTTGGTAGAGCTGCTGCCGCTTATCTTAGTTCAAATCCTGGTGTGGGGGCCTTTCTGAGTGGAGTTTACATGTTCTCTCCGTGCTGCGTGGGCTTTCCCCAGATACTCCAGTTTCCTCCCACAGACCAAAAACATGCATGTTAGTCTGATGGTAACTCTGAATTGTCCCTAGATGAGAGAGAGAATGGTTGTTTGTCTCTGTCCCTGTGATGGACTGGAGATCTGTCCAGTGTGTCCCCCGCCTTCCACACCGTGATGGGGGCACCACTGACCCCAACGTCCCAAAAAGGAAGAAACTGGTAAAGTGGATGGATGGTAAAGAGGATGGATGGATGGATGGATGGGTTAATCTGCATCACAGATGAATAAAAATGATATTTGAAACGTTGTGAAGAGAAGCTCTCTCTCTCACTCAGTCACACTCAGTGCTGGTTTCTTCAGGGACCTGATGTACAACGGTCATAATTACCATATGATGATATTTAAGTCCATAATGTGAGGAAGAGAGACTTTTGATTTAAAAACTTTATTTATTCTTTCATTCACTCAACCTTTATTTATCCAGTTTAGTCTCATTGAGCCACGAGGACTCATTTACAAGAGAGACCTGTTCCAGACAGAACATCTAAAGTACAAACAGTAAACAACAACAAACTACAGTAAAAACTGCGGTTGGAGTAAGAATAGTGTACAAAACAATAAATGAGGTGCTGTAAAACAGGTGAAATACTAAATTTAAAGGCCAAACTTCAGCAGCAGGTGATCATAATGTAACTTGTTTGCAGCTCAGAGTCGAGTCCAAGCCCGAGACGCAGACGACCCCTCTTCGTCCCAGAGATCAGCGCGCACGTGACAGACCCACTTTCACCCAGCGAGTCCCCAGACCTGGTAACACCTTTTCTCTCCAAATTAAAAGTTTATTGCTTTAATAAAAAAGTCTCTTACTCTGAATGTTTCTTGTTGCTGTTAGATGGTGTTGGAAATTCAGAGTCACAAACAGGAAAACCACACACGAGTTTTGTGAACAAAGGTGATTATTGATGGCACGTTTTTTATAGTTGGTCAGATTTTATATTCAGTGAAGTAGTTGTTGAACGTTTGGCACCTGCAGGTGGTAGAGATCCAGAATCGAGCGACGTGGACACCAGGAGGATTGTACGGTACCCTGACAGCCACCAGCTGTTTGTGGGCAACCTCCCGCATGACATCGACGAGAACGAGCTCAAAGAGTTCTTCATGAGTACGTTGTCTTGTGGAACGCAGCGTTTATCACCGTCCTGTTCCAGGAATGTCCCACGTGAACTTTGGTTGTCCTGTCTTGTTGCAGCGTATGGAAACGTAGTTGAACTGCGAATCAACACCAAGGGGGTCGGTGGGAAGTTGCCCAACTTTGGATTTGTGGTCTTTGATGACCCCGATCCTGTCCAAAGAATCCTGGGGGCCAAGGTAGAAGGGGCATGTATCATTTCATTACCCACTTTTCTTTGGTGGTGGACTTTGATGCATTTCTTCTTATTTGTCACCTGCCTTCTCTTCCCTCATAGTGTGTGCATGTGTGTGCACGTGTGTGCATGTGACCTCTGAAATGTGATCAGAAGTTTTGAAACGTGTCAGGAACTGTTGGCTCACGTTCTTCTTAGTGACCTTCCCTTCTCGCCGCAGCCCATCATGTTTCGGGGGGAGGTGCGTCTCAACGTGGAGGAGAAAAAGACGAGGGCGGTGCGTGAGCGAGAGACTCGTGGTGTGGACGAGCGGCGGGACATGAGACGTAGCGATCGGGGCCCCGGAGGTTCACGGAGCATCGCGGGAAGTGGGATGATGCGTGAACGCGATGGTAGAGGACCACCGCCCCGAGGAGGCATGGCCCCCAAACCTGGCATGGGCTCTGGACGAGGCTCCGGTGGAGCGGTGGAGGGGCGCTTCACGCCCCAGCGCCGCTGAGAAGCCCCTGCGGCGTGGACCCAGTGGTGTTCTTCATCCTGAACTGTGCTCATAATGAAAAGAAATGGTCCTGTACAAAGTCTATATTTGGTGTTTCTTTTCTTTCTTCTTTGCTTTGGAATGTGACGGCCTGTTAAGTTTGTGAACTAGATGAGCAAACAAAAGAACACGTTGCTTATTAGTTGTGAGCTGAACTTCCTTTTCTTCGGTATCTCAAGAATGCAGTCGTCAACTTGTAATTAAAGACAAATCACCCAGGACTCTTCTGCCACGTTCAGAGGAACTGCAATGACTTTGAACTTCAACGGATCATTCTGACGGGACTATCCACCGTGACTCTACGGGGCGTCCTTGATTGCACTGTGTTGTACTTTTGTTGTTTTGTAGCCCATTACTGTTGGACAAGAGCGTGATGCAACGTTTGTGCAGTTCCAGAGGAATCGCCTGGCTTTGACCCCCCCCTGTGAAAGACCACTGCTTCAACATTGCATAATGCCCCCTCCAATCTGCACTAACGGGTCCTCGTGTGTTCCGTTCTGTTGGAGACGTGCGCTTTAGGCTGCTGGGACTCTGCGCTCCAACACGGCTCCAGTGCACGTCTCACGACTAAAAGACCAGAAGTCTTGAGCCGCTGCTGGACGGACGAGCAGATGGACCTTTTCTCTCCTCATTTGTAAATCGGTTCGTTTTCTAGACTTTCACCAGATCACATGACTCTGGGACGAACAGGAAGTGACAGCGGCTCAGTATTGTTTTTATTTTGATTCCATTTTTTAAATTTAAATTTGACAGCTTTACTGTGACAGGATGAGCAAACGTTTCCTTTTCTCCTTGTTCTGAGTGGAGTAACAAATAAATGTACAGCAAAAAGTTCAGTATGTTTTGCTTTTTGTGTATATTTAATTTCTATCTGGTGCCTTCTACTTTACGCTTTGAAGTCCTGCTGCTCGTCCCGAGCTCTGCTGAGGACCGACTCAAGGACAGGATTTATTTTTCACGGTTTTATCATTTTATTGCCTAACGTGGTCTGTCCGTTCCTTCTGCTCCTCTGAGTTTTGTAGAAACTGAAGGTGCCTCCTGTTCATGGAAACGTTTTGTTGGTGCATCAGATGGTCCGTTAACGGTGGCGGGTTTTGGTTTTCCATCAAGACTGCACTTCATTAAACTAATCCTTTGGAAGTGCTAAATGTTCCACAACGTAAACCAGACGAGCTTTTCTGTCTTGTAGGTCACAAAATGTTCAATCGTGTCGTCTGGACAGTTTCTTTTTGGGAGAAACTGTCCAGATGACCTTTAACAGGTTTGTGATTTATGTACCTGGATGACTGAGCTTACAAAACTTTATTTTGTCTCGTAGGGTTTTATTTTTATGTTTTCTGCACATAACTGCAGCGCTAGTTTGCTTTTCATGCAATTGTGAACTGATCTGTGAGGTTCAGCTGACACGCTGCAGCCGTCACTCGAGTGAATAAGTGCACATTTTTCTATCGACTCATTTGTATTTTCATGTTCTGATAATTCACGGTTTTGTTTTTCTGTTGAAGTACTAACGGTTGCAGAACTGTGGCTCCGCACTCGTCTTCTGGAAAATGTTGAACTTTGGGTGGGAGGGAAGACTTTGGTTTGAGCTGGTAAAAGGAAAATGTGAAAGATCTTTCTGATTATTCTGTTGCGTTGCGCTGAAACGGGCAGTAAAGTGATGTAGCGTTTTTCTTGACGGCCCGTCTTCCTCGTCTGGCGCCGTTGCACTATCTCCAGACGTCCTGGAACAATCTGTTGCTCTGAACAAAAACTGCTCGGCATCAAATGTTTGGCCTCTGGAGGAAGCATTCATTTCTCCCTGAAGTTTCACATCACGCCGGCCTTCAAAGCGCTCCTGGTTCAAATGGTACTCCTGATTATTTCCACGGCGGTTTCTTAACTGGGCTGGTTTTCTGCAGTGACTGGTGAAGAGCCGTCCCGCTTCAGACCAGTCTCATGTTTCCATGTTTACAAGTGTTCAGTCCCGTGATTGATTTTGTCTGAGGTATTTAAAAATGTGCCGCGCACTAAAGGATTCTTCCAAGTTAATACGTTACAACCTTTTAGTCTTGATTTAAATAAGACCGTGGGTCTCGTGAATGAGTTGGTCCTTTGAGTGGGAATAAAGACACGGCTCTACCAGATGTGGTAAACCGCTGGCTGCCATCTTAGTTCTGTTCACCTTTGTTCAAACTGTTGCCCCTCCAGATTATTTTTTTTACTTTTCCATTTTGAATGTGATTTAACATAAAATAAAGTGATAACCGAACTGCTCGTGTTGTCGTGTTTACAGGCGGTTGTGCTCATGTTGAAGGGGTGGGACGTTAAAAACATGGTCTCATTTTGGGAGGGGGGGACATCTGCAGGTTCAGTGTGCTTTTATTTTAAAAACCATTTTGAGTTTGACTTGAAAAGGTCCATTTTGTTGTTTCCTACACAAAGACCCAGTTGTCAGTAAAGTTGGCATCAAATCATTTCCTGTAAATGCTTTAAATTTTCAGGGCACGTTTTCAGTTTTACAAACTTGTCGTCGTTTATTTGATCTAAACTTTAGATAAAGCTGGCTAAATAACTCCATGTTGAATTATATATCTATTTTCTTCTTCCAGTTGACGGATGATTATTGGACCCATGTTTTATCAGTTGTGATACCTGTTTTAGGTGTAGGCTTATTGCATATTTTGTTTCATGCTGTTTGTATTAGTCATGCAAGCCACATGTTGGTTCCTTATATTTTTTTAAAAACAACTAAAATATCCACCGATTGTTAAAAAAAAAACTCTGTCCTAAAAATACTACAGCAGATGTGTTGAGTAACTGATTTGTGGGGAGCTTGTGTGAATTTAATTGAAACCATATGCAGTGAAACCCACTGGGACATCTTATCTAAATAAAGACAAAAATATTTACATTTAAGACAATATCCAAGTTTGCAATCATAACTTCATACCTTGTCCAATTTTTTTCTTTCTTCCAGATTAAGTGTTTTTTAAATTTTGCAGACATCTGAAACAGGTCTCTTGAAAAAGAGTCCTCGTGACTCAGTGAGACTATACCAGTATGAATACTGGTTGAATAAAAATAAATATAGCCTAATATAACCATTGTGGTTTGTAGGCCAGATTTACAAAACTATCAACATATTGAAACATATGCAGCAATAATAAAGTCTTTTCTATTTTT